CAATAAAAATAGGAAAATATACCAAATATAAATATGAAAAAAATGCAAGAAAACAGAAAATATAAAAGAAAATACACAAAATAGGAACAAAATAGGAGTTTAATGCCTCTGAAAGCTTTACAGAAACGTATTAGATAAAAGGGTTATTATGAATACACTGCCTGATGTCTGAGGTCTTGTTTTATGATAGATTTGTGATAAAGTTTGACATAAAATGACTTGTTAATCAATTTATTTTAATCCATTACATACAGGTATTGTAGGGCAAAATAGTCCCCAAAGAAAACTTTTTTTCAGATTTTCCACTTTACCATCAACATTACATAAAAACTTAGAAGGCACGTGTAGGTTCACCGATGGTTTTGGTAAATAAATGGCTATATTTGTGTTGCAGACACGGAAACCCCTGGTTCCTATCCAACCCAGTCTCACAGAAAATAGGTTCATATACACCTTAAATGCAGCACCTTACATACGTTGCAGATCAACGTTTTGTTGTAGGAATACAACGTATCAGACTTTCACCGCGCTGATTTTGCAGCCACGATCTGCAGCAACGTATTACTTGAACACACCGCGTGCACGTCACGTGGTCATCAGCGCGCTCCCGAGGTTAAGTAGCACTTTTTACAAGACGTCTTCACAGAAATATATATTTCAAGCTGTCAAAATGACAGCACAACGTATTCATCTTGTTTTTATTTATGTGCTTAAAGGCGTACAGATTACTTAATTATATGCTGGTGTAAAACATAAGTCAAGTGCAGTAGCCATTGCTGTTTTGTAGCTCTCTTGTCAATTGCTCACAAAATTATATTGCTTTTACAAAACCTAAGGTCACTTTTGAGAGCTAAATCTTTCATCCTGTCTGTCTCACATACTCAGTCTCTTCTAAACTCTCTCACAGATTTCATACACACTGGATTTCTTCAAGTACTGTTCTGATAAGTTACGTTTGTTGCTCTTTTTCTGTAACTATTTGATTCAGGTCGCTTTAAAGTACACATATGACCTTTTGAAAGTTGCTCGATTACTTTGAAATAAGACCGTTAAGAAAGTCACAGCATATAAGCCTGTATTCACGTCTCTGACTTGCTTTGTCAACATTTGTAATAGTGTCAGTAAGACTGAAAGTCCAGTTGAATGATTAGTTTGGTCTGTCTGTCATAAGTCCTCTTCTTAAATCCATATCACTGGCCTCTTAAACTTTCTCAAATCTGTTGTTCAAACAACCTGTCTGTTGTTCTTACCAGTCAAACCTGCTTCTTGAGCTTTTTGAGATGCCTGTTGCCATTCGATGTTCTATAACTGGGTTATTAAATAAAATCATGAAAACGTTACTCAGTAACATAAACCATATAACCTGTTTATAACCTTTTAACACTCATATGTGTGTAACACTGACTTTTTGTGTACAATTACAATGTGATCGTTTCTGTCATACAGGCGATTTTTCACCATGTTTTGTGTTAGCAGACTGTCTTAGTAAAACAGCAGCTCAGCAGTGTTATTACATTATAATTACGATAATAACCAGCTGTACTCATAATAAGTGAAAGAAAGTCTCACATCAATCATTTCACTTTATGACCATCAACGTGCTCTTCTTTTCTGCTAAATTCTGTATACGTAAATGGCAGTATATACATTTTAATGTTTTGTTTGGGTTTTTTTCAGCTCTGTATTTTATTTTATCAAACAGCAATAGCAACTTAGCCATAAAAGCTTTCAGTTTATGAAGTGTACAGAATGAAAGCAGGTTCAGGTTGTGGTCAGAGCACGGACTGAGCATTTTAAATGTTCCAAATGTGTCCAGATGTACACTCCTGGGCAAAAAAATGCCCAAAATGGCAAAACATTAAGCTTTTAATGGTCAAAATAACAAATCATTAAACCAATATATAAAGTAACTTGATATGGGAGAGCTTTTCCCTTTAATTTCTTTAAATGTTGAAGTTTTGTGTGTAAATTTACAGACAAACTTTTACAGAAAGAAGAGTCAGTCTTTTTCCACTCAGCATTGATGACTTCAAACACTTGAAAAACACTGCCAAGCTAGTTAATGTGAGACCAAATATTCTCTATAGGGTTTAAATCTGGACTCTGACCAGGTCAAAACTATATTATAAATATACTTTTTGCATTTTTTGCTCAGAAGTGTAGTTTAATATAAAACCTAATTCCTAAACAGCTTTGTCTTCACTCTTATACATTACAGCGTAGTGTGGTGGCTCTGAGCACTACACAGTAGCATGCTAATTTGCATATCCCGTAAACCATAGCAGGTGCCAGTGCTATTGTGTTTTCGTGTCCTATCTTGCTGTAAGTGGTTATCAGTTGATGATTAATAACGTGTGCACTGTCAGTTTATACGTTGAAAAGGACTAGCCTGTGAGTTTGGCTGAAATTGTTTATGTTACCATTCATGTGATTTAGTTACCCCACGCTAGTTTAGACTGTTGATTAGACTAAGATTAATTAGTGCAATGTTCATCACCCACTTATAAATTGAATTACTTCACTTTTGTTCTGTTGTCTCACCGTAACATAACTGAAAAGTAAGATGTAATAAAATGATACCATTCCAAATCTTCTAAAATGTACGCAGAGGGTTGCTGAGGGTTCAATACCACCAAACTATGACTTTTTCATACTGCAATAACTAAAACATTTTATATATTATATTGTTGTTTGTCGCTGTTGTCGGAAGAAAATCTCGTATCTCAATTTTTGACATTTTTCAGTTTTTGACATAATTTGAAAATACTTGTTACCTCTTACATTGTATGTAAATTTCATGATGAATGGGCTAAAAGAAATGACCAAAAATGACTTGAAAAAAAGTCTGGTTCCATTGACTTACATTACTAGTAAAGTATGTTTTTTCCTTCTCCTGTAAAGTTATCATTTTTGAGATAGGAGGTTTTGTGCCGACAACAGGGTTATGTTTTTGTGTAATCACAAGATATGAGACAAGAAGAAAACATATCTTGTCAAGTTCAGGCACTTACTAAATAGTAACTACGGTATACACACTAAACCTTTGACAGTAAAATGTATCCACTTTGTTATGGACATGTACAGAACTACACTGGCTGGTCACTTCATCCACCTCCTTGTTTCTGCACTCTTTCTCCATTTTATCAGCTCCATTTACCATATAGGAGCACTTTGTAGATCTACCGTTACAGACTGGAGTCCATCTGTTTCTCTGCATACTTTGTTAGCCCCCTTTAACCCTGTTGTTCAATGGTCAGGACCCCCACAGAGCAGGTATAATTTTGGTGGTGGATCATTCTCAGCACTGTGGTGACAGTGATGTTGTGCTGGCGTGTGAGTGTGTGTTGTGCTGGTACGAGTGGATCAGACACAGCAGTGCTGCTGGAGTTTTTATACATTATGTCAACTCATTGTCTACTCTATTAGACACCTACCTTATTGGTCTACCTTGTAGATGTAAAGTCAGAGACAATAGCTCATCTGTTGCTGTACACAATGTGTTCGTCATCCTCTAGTTCTTCATCAGTGGTCACAGGATGTTGCCCACAGGACGCTTTTGGCTGAATATTTTTGGTTGGTGGACTATTCTCAGTCCGGCAGTGACACTAAGGTGTTTAAGCCTCTGGGGTCTAAGGGCGTTTTCTCAACAAACAGGGATGTCCTTTAAAAAGATGTCATCTAGATGGCAACATATGTTGTTCCAAATTGCATATGTACCCCTCACCATTAATAGTGCTTTCACAGATGTGCAAGTTACCCATGCCATTGACACTAATACACCCCCATACCATGACAGACACTGGCTTTTGAATTTTGCATTGGTAATAATCAAGATAGATCTTTTCCACTTTGGTCCAGAGAACTCAACATCCATAAACAATTTGAAAGGTGGTCAGATCACAGCAAACATTTCCACTGTGCATCAGTCCAATTCAGATAAGCTTTAGCCCAAAGAAATTGCCAGTGTTTCAGAATGTTGTTGATGTATGGCTTCCATTGTGCATAGCAGAATTTTAACATGCAGGTGGTGCACTGTGTTTGACAAGGGTTTTCCAAAGTATTCCCAAGCCCATGTGGTTACATTCATTACAGAAGCATGTTAGAAGAAGGTCACAAGCATTCAGTATTGGTTTTCAACCTTGCACTTTAAGCACAGAGATTTCTCTAAATCTTTTAATAATGCTATGGACTGTAGGTGGTGAAATCCCTAAATTCCTTCTTAATCTCGTTATTTTGCTATTCGCTCACACAGTTTTATGCAAAGTGACGGCCGAGCGTATGGATGCTCCTTCACCAGTTTACCTTTGGAAAGTTCCAAATCAGATGTTTTTGCATCTGTTTCCACAGCCTTGCAATCGTACCTCACCCCTGTCCCATCTTTTTTGAAATGTTCTGCGGGCATCAACTAAGGAATATTCATATATTTATAAAAATCTGATAAAAATTGGGTTTGTAGAAATCAAGACTAAAGATTTTATATTACTAGAATGAAGTACAGAGTAGAAGCATAATACATTACTGTGTCTGATCCACTCGTATATTACTGCTGTGTCTGATCCACTCGTACCACCACAACATGCAAAAAGCACGACAGTGTGAAACATGAACAGCAAAGCCAGATGCACATAGACTGCAGCATAAAATATTTACATTTGTAATTTAAAACAAAGACAGAAAGAAAGACACTAAAGGTTTGAAAAATAAGCAAAAACTGTGAAAAAAAAACATTGAAATCAACAACTTTAAAAGGAAAAATAGAGGAATGTAAGACATGAAAAGCAGGTGAATGATATAGAAAGAAGAAAAAGTCAGAAAGAAAGGTTGAAAGAAGGCTGTGAAGGGAGAGAAGTGAGCAGTAGAAACAAAGAATGTACTAAAGGTAGCCCGAGATCATAGAGCATGCCTATTCAAATCAATATGATGAAAAAATGTTGCGGTTCCTGTTTACATAAGTATAGTGCCAAGTCATGCCACCTACTCCACCTCTCTTCTGCTTCCTGGAAAAAGAGCAGCCTGATCAACACAGACCTGAAGCACAACTGTTAAACTCTTCACTCTAAACTTTAAATGGAAAAACAGGTATGAAAGGGACTGTTTTTTGTTGTCTGTGTAAAGTAGGGATGAAGAATATTTTGGGAGGGTTTGAGGAAGTTGTTTTGGAAGCTCTTAAACCAGTTGGGTAAATTAGACTGAAGATCAAACACAACAACTGTTAAGAACATAAAAGTGCAATTAGTTTAGCATTTCACTCCAGATGTTACAATGTGGACATATTTCACCTACAGCAGCGATATGACTATATGAAGAACAGCAAAGGTAAGCGCAGTTAGCATCATGCTAAAGCTTACAGTAAACATTGAACCTGTGTAGAAAATTAAACACAAACGTCAAGTATAATGTACTATAGAACTGATATAGTTACTCTAGTTTTTTGTATGTGTATGTATCTGTATAAGGAGAGGACATAAAGATGACGTACAATTAACACTAAGTTAAACTTCCAGTTTAATTATTACTTTGCTGTTTTAGTGTATAATTGTTTTTACCATGTTGTATCAGAGAGAGTTCATTTTTATCAAAAGAGACAGATGATGTACAAGACTTTTATTTAACGAAACATTTTATTTAAAACAAAATTATTGGCACCCAATCCCTGGCACTCTTCTCCTATAATGCTTAATAAGATACAGAATGCAGAGCAAGCAATCCGCAAATAATCCCTCAATACAGAATCTCTCCAGATCCTCCAGGGTCCTAGTTCTAGGTGTTGTCATGTAACTCCCCTCTTTAGCTCACCTTACAGGTTTTCATTGGGATTTAGGTCAGTGGCAAAAGCTTCATTCTGTGGTCACTAAAATACTTTTGTGTGGATTTGTATGTATGTTCTGGATCATTGTCCTGCTGGAAGATCCAGCCACTACCCAGCTTTAGCTTAGCTTTTAGGAAATGCCGCTACCGTTCAATCATACAGGATAAGCTGCAAAAGCATGGAATTCCATGTTTTCATGTAGACGAATAGTCTGAAAAGACTGAAGCATAATTTAACTTGACTGACAGGCCTTGAGGATGAAGACTAACGCCTTCATTCTCAGACATGACTAACACGTTGGAATTCATTTGGGCCCGATTCATTTGGACTTTGGCTTTAAAGAACCGCAGGATGGTTTTGGGTTTTGTGATGAACATTTTGTGGAGAATTCACACACTTAGCAGGAAGTTCTGAGTGAACACAATCTGCTGTCCGAGTATCTGAGCGAAGAGCCATCAGACATTTTGATTCTGTCTCTTCACAACCTGAAATCTGAAGGAGGTTTAAGACACTGCAGCTGAAAAAGCGGCTGTAACAGTCTGTAAAGTCCTGACCGTTCTGAGGATGGTCAGTCTGTTTGATCATCAGCCAGTCTGTGTACTTGTATGCAGCACATTTATAACAGGAACAGTTTTTAATTGTTGTTATTAAGTAAACACATATGTAATTTCCTTTTGTCTGAAAAATTAATTTATATTTTTTCTTTTTATATTTTAGTAGAAAAATGTTGTGACCTTTTTAAATTTTATATTTTAGTATGAAAAATTAAATCTAGTGTCTGGAAACTTATGAGATGGTTTTTGTGTAGCTGTGTGTAACTGTGTAAATCTCTCTCTCTCTCTCTCTCTTTCTCTCTCTCTCTCTCTCTCTCTCTCTCTCACTCTCTCTCTCTCACTATAGGGTTGTGTTAGTGTGAATCTGTAGGAGGAGATAAAGAGATAAAGATGGCGACTGCAAGAAACAGTAAGTTAAACTTCCAGAACCTACAAAAGGTTTTACTGTGAACATCATTAAATAATATTCTATCAGAGAGTTTATTTTTATTGTAGAGACACACGAGATACAATTATTAATGTGTGTGTGTGTGTGTGTGTGTGTGTTTGTGTGTGTGTGTGTGTATGTGTGTGTGTGTGTGTGTGTGTGTGTGTGTGTGTTTCTACACAGATGAGTTTAAACTTATTGGACCCCCATATACAGAGTATCCGTTTAACTTTGCGGTCACTCTCTCATGTCACCTGTCTCCTGAAATCAGTGCTGTTGCCCTGGAGATCAGGTGGTTTAAGGGGACAGACTGTGTTTGTCTCTATAAGAACAGGCAGGTGACAGAAGGGAGGGACTACGAGGGCAGAGTGAATCTGTTCACTCAGGAGCTGCAGAGAGGAAACGTCTCCTTACAGATCAGAGACTGTAGATGGTCAGATGAAGGAGATTATCTGTGTCAGGTCACCAATGGAGACACAACAGAGGAGTGTACAGTAGGGATGTGGAGCAGTAAGTATTCCAGAAGTTCACTCTACACAAACTCGACATCATCATCAGTGTCTCATCTCAGAATGATAGATGAAAAGACAGAAATGAGAAACACAGAATGTTGTTGTGTTTAGATAAAGGAGGTAGAACATACAGAGAATAAATGATGTTAGTGTGAAGGACAGATGGAGCATTTCAGTAGAACAAACAGTAACTCTGTTTCTTACTCTGACACTAAACCTCCACATCATGACAGCTGAAGTTACAACTGCAGCTGCATTAAAAACTTCTATAAGAGCTAAAGAAATATTTTAGCTGTTTCTAAACTCTGCCAAGAAGACCTGAGATATTTGATGGAAGAAGATGCAGCTGTACTAAAAACAAAAAAAAGAGAAAAAGTGAGATCTTTAAATATTAGATTTATTATTAAAATATTACATTTAATATGTGACGTCACTATAGGCTGCTGACTCACTCTTTTAGAAAAATTCTGTTCTTAAGTAATTAAAGCTGCAGATCCACAAACTATAGACACAGAAAGGGGCGTATTCAGAGTTGAGCTGCGCGTAGTGAGGAGATAAAACCGAAACTGCGCATCTTTATTCACACTTCAGTTGTATCTGTGGACTCGGGCGCTGTTCAGACTCGTTGCGCGCGGGCGGAGTTCACCGAGAAAGAGGCGAGTCTCAGTTCTCCGATTCAGATCCTGAACTTAAACTCATTGTTCTTGAGCGATGTCCATTCCCACCAGGAGCTGTGTTAAGTCCAGCGCCCCCGTCTGACTATTTAATGTAACCACACAATTTCAACCTGAAATTACTGTCTTTAAGTGTAAAATACAAAAAACCGAATTGAGACCAAATTTCAACATAAACATCATATAAATGAATGCAAACATTCATCAAAACAATAAAATGAAATAAAATACAGTCAGACAGTTTAAGATGAAGAAAGTAAATGAATGTGTTCTCCAGCCTGTAGAACTAGTGATGATGGTGAACATTCTCTACATCTGTAAGATCACAGCAATACTACACTTTTAGAGTTATTTCAGGCCAGCTCACCTTCAGCCTGACAGGACACATCATACTATGTCATCAATACTTAAGATGATTTAGAACTGAACTAAACTGATTTAGAGTTTAGTTCAGTTCTAAATCATCTTAAGTATTGAGTGCTGAACTAAACTCTAAATCAGTTTAGTTTAGTTCAATACTTAAGATGATTTAGAACTGAACTAAACTGATTTAGAGTTTAGTGCAGCACTCAATACGTAAGATGATTTAGAACTGAACTAAACTCTAAATCAGTTTAGTTCAGTTCTAAATCATCTTAAGTATTGAGTGCTTTTTATAGAATGACTAAATTGATCTGAAATATGAACTAGATACACTGTAAAAGTCAAACAGGCTGTTTTAGAGGTTTGAATTATAAAAATTGCTTTGTTTGTCTGTGGAACAAAATAGATTCACGACTAAAAATCAATTTCTAGGTTATTTTGAGTTTATTTTCTCTAAAGGGACAAATTCTTTCTCCTCCAACTTAAAACATTACAGTCTAAAACATATATAGTTTTAATTTTTATTATATCATACTGCAGTTATTATATTAATAAAAAATATATTATACTGTTAAAAAAGTATAAATTTCTTAACGAATACTAAATCCGTATTATTCCCATATTTATGATTCTTAATAATAATAATAATAATAACAATAATAATAATAATAATAATAATAATAATAGTAATAATAATAATATAAAGGGGGTAAAAGCTCCCATTCACCTTTTTAAATTTCCTGATTAAATGCTGAGGCTAGAACCTATACTGACATAATCAGAGAATAATACATTTATTTTCTTCTTCTTCTGCTACTTCTTCTTCTTCTGCTTCTTCTTCTTCTTCTTCTTATTATTATTATTATTATTATTATTATTTGTATTATCATTAGTAGTAGTAGTAATAGTAGTAGTAGTGTATATGCAGTAGTAGTAATAGTAGTAGTAGTATCTTATGTTTATACATTTGCAGGCTTTGTTTTTTTTTTTGTCCATTCAAATTTGCTGTTTTTTTGCAGAGCTGCAGGTAAAACTCAAATAAAGAAGCACTTTGTGAGTAACTGATGGGTCTGTTAGTCATTCATTTAGAGCGGGTTTATGTGGTTTTAGTGAAAATTAGTTTCTGAAAAAACTCATTATTTAACAAACTTTTTTAAAAAACATGATAATGAAGTAATTTTGGGAAATGAACCCAGAATGACCATCACAGTAAAAAGCCTGACCTGCTGCTTAATCGCTCTAATTTGAGCCTTTTCAGCTCTCAATTCTCCACATTAACCTGAAAACGTGTTCATTGTGTTTGAGTATTAGGCTCTCCTGAAGCTCAGACTCCTTACAATAGAGATTCACTTTTCAGTCTTTCATTCAGTTTGTTCATTAGTTTTCCTTCAGCTCATGTTCCTTATTCATTCATGTAGATTCATAACACAAAGCTATCTTCTTATATTTACTGTTTCTTAATGATTTATTTAATATGTTCCTTCATGATCTGTTCCTGATTGACACTATATTAGTTAATAGTTATTAGATCAGTTAATCTTTTAGTTAATATATCAGTTAATCTTAGTTATTATATTACTTAATCTGTCTGTTCAGTCTGTAAATGTACTTTAACTGATTTTAACTGCTGCGGGGAAAAAATCCTTCTCATGTTTGTTCATTAGTAATGAAGAATAACACATTATTCATTAATGATAGTTACTAAATTAGTTCATGGGTTGATGACTTATAATTACTAGTTTACTAAAGAATCTTATTGTAAAGTGTTACCAATCATTTCTATAAGGGTTGAGTCTCTGCTGTAGGTTTACACTTTAACCATTTAGCTGAACATCTTCATGGAGTTGTATTGAAAGCAATGAGTGACAGTGCAGTAGTGAGGGATGAAACACGACAGTACAGATAAGAAAAGGAGATTTCTGATAAGGAGATTAAAGGTTAAAAAAGACTGAAGTATTCTAATTGTAAAAATGTCTCTCATGGAGATTTGTCTAACTTTGTGTTTCCTTCTGTTTTTATTCCACAGCATCATGGGTAAGTAAATATCTATGTTTACTTCTTTCTCTGCTGGTAATGACTGATTTTTATACTCTCATAATCCCACTGCACTGCAGAAATGTAGAGACAGTGAAGTTCACTGATGAGAATAAGACACAACAACTAGACAACAACTAAGTCAACAACTAGCCCAGAACACACACACACAGCAGGAGCTTCTGACACACACTCACATACACTATCTGCCTGTTTGCCTGAGTCTCTATATCAGTGACTCAAAACAAATAGCAAACAATGAAGAGTCAGCAGCTCTGAAAGACTTGATTACTGAGATCCTCTCATCTCCTTCACTTCCATTCACTTCATTTAAGAATAAGCAGCTTCTCTTATTCAGTCTGCAGATATCTCTCAGCATTTCTAGATAAACAGCAAAGAGTTAAAACTAATCTTAAAGTAGCTGAAGGGGAGATTTCAAAGAAAAAAGGGAGCAGTATACGAGAGACTGAAATAATAAGCAACTAAGAATAATAAATAACTAATATTTTTTATACATTGTACATAAATGAAGTTCTTTACTGTTATTACATTCATTTTAGACTCGGTACATACAGTATTTTAAGTACTTAATTTGGTGTGATGGATTCCATAGCATTTTTTTATCAGATCACAGAGACAAACTTCTGCCCACATTGCTATTTTCTACTCTGTTATGTGACACTCAGATACATGCCAGTCTGAGTTAATCTAATCAGGAAATAGCAGAATCTCAGGTGTAATATTGAACAGAAGGCTGTGATGTGAGTGAGAAGCTCTGAAACTCTACAGAGAGTGTATTAATTCACTTATGATTCCATGCATGAAATTATATTATTATATTATTCACTTCACAGCTGGATCCATGGAGAGAAGCAGAGAAAGGTGAGTACAAGTCAGTGTGAAATGCTTTTATTTTGACATGTGGATTGTTGAAGGATGTTGTTGTTGTAAAGACTGTTGTTGTAAAGACTGAACTGAAATCTGTACTGTGTGTTCAGAGTGTTCAGAGAGAGTTCACTAACACACACTTCAGCACTGTATGTATCACTATAGTGTAGAGCTCACAGCAGCCTGAGATGACTGACACAACATTAATAACACCGTTACCTCATTCACAAACGGTCTCATACGCGCACACATCTGATCTACACACTGATATTGACAGATTGCAAAGTGAAGCTCACAGTTTTTCAGACTGATGATCATTAATATAATCAAAAATCTGTGTTAGAATCATTTTCTTTACATGCACTTTAACAGCAGATTTACTTTTATATCAGCATCTATATTTAATACTGTTCTATAAAGGCAATAATGTAGTTAAAGAAATATAATACAGCGATACCTGGACTGAACAAATAGTTTGCAGACAGTCAGAGAAGTGCAGCAGAAAGTCAGACTCATTGAGGAGAGAATCAGACTAACTACTCAGAAGCTACAAAACAGCACATCTCAGACTTTAAAAACTTCGTTTTTTTATCTGTTTAATTTGCAGTTTCTATTCCAGTGCTTATTTATTTTTCCTCTCAGACTAGAATATCAAACAGAAAAACATGATCTGCAAGAGGAGAAATTATTATTATAAAGTTCTTAAAAGTCCAGCTGTAAATACAGTAGCAGCTTCTTTAAAGGGCTGTTTGTGTTACTTTTAAGACTGATATCTGTAAATGAATTCTGATTGGTTGTCCTGTATTGTTGTGCCTCATTAAAAAAGCAGTCTAAGCTGAAACACTCCTTATAATTTCAGTGTGAATGGGCGGGGCTAAACTGCTGTCTGCTGAATAGATGGATATATAAAAATGTGTTGGTTTTTGTGACACCACAAACACAGTAAACTTAAAAAAGGATGCATTTGCAGTTTAGTTTCCATATATGGACTGTATGAACTGAGGAGTGAACAAAGAGGAAAATTCTATTTTCTATGATCTGGGCTCTTTAAACGTCTACACATCTTCATGTCTTACTACAGAAAATACTGATTAAATGTTTTGTCTTATTATATACTTTCAATATTTTAAATGTTCTTATTTTGTATCTAAACAGAGGCTCCTCAAGTCTTCGTTTCTCAGGTAAGCACATTATTCTAAATAGACCCTAAATAGTTGAGTTGAATGTTATTACAGTGTTAATGCTTATCAGTGTTCTGTAAGTGATCATGATCCTCAGATGGCTGCAGTGCTGCAAACATTTTTATTTCCTCTTTTTTGATGTCGGCATTTCTGTTACTCACATCCCATGAGCTCATGATTGATGAATGATTTATTATGAAAACTAAAAGTATAAGATGGAAAAAGCTCTTATTCAGTTATTAGTAAAATATTGCCTGTGATGATCACAACACAGTCTCTGTAGTGTATCTCTGCACTCTGTCACAGTCAGACTGTTCAAAGTCACACAACTGCAAACAAACAATGTACTTAATGCTGCTTAAACACGAGTTAATAAAAATGCAGTGATTTTCAAACAACATCAGTTTAAATCAATTAAATTCATCAGAGTCTCTACTGTTATTAATATCAGCTCTCAGTGATTCATACTGACACATAAACAGTGATTTAAACAAAGAAAGTTATTGATCATATAATATACAGTATGACATCCTGTATGAAATCTTCACACTGTTTTATTCAGAGGGGCAGAAAATGGACAGAAGAGGAGAGAATGAAAATGAGGGAATCTGCTTTGCTGATTGGTGAGTTTCAAAAGAGACACAGAATTAAAATCAGTGACAGTTAAACCTGTTATATACTGATATTATAATGTGAGCAAGTTTCTCAAAGCCATCACATTTTTAATTGTAATGAAAACAGTTATTATTATTGATATAATGCAGTGTTATGAAACTATCATGTCACAGGCTGTGTTTTACTGCTTTTGATATAAATCATTCAGATCACTCTGCTGCAGTTTTAGAGATTCTTTCTCTACTGACTGTTTAAGATCATCACTCTATTCTGTTAAAGGCCTGTTTTAGAGGATGATTTTAGACTTTGCTGATATTCTTTCAATCAGTTTTCATCACTTGTATGTGTTTATTCTTGTTTAAAGCATCTGATTAGCTTAAAGGTGAACTCCACAGATATTTCAAAAATTCTGCATAATTCACTGGTTGAGGCGTAAACAAAGTCATTCAAAGTGGTTTGATGTGAAATAGTTGATTGTAGGAAAATTTACTGACTCTGGAGCCATATTACAGAAACTTCCTATCTTTTTGTCTTAAGATATGACAGGTCAAGATAAGATTTTTCACAAATTCGTATTACAGAAGCAAATCTTATCTTGATTTAAGAATCTTATCTTACAGCATCTTATCTCAGGTTAGGAAATCTTAACTTACTCGATCGAAGTCGACAATCAACTGTCATGTCTGTTACCTAGCAACCGACCATACGCGCACAGCTGAAACGTAAACACTTAATCAAGGTAGTTAGCCAGACAGCTAACGTTAGCTACTGTTACTGAGGTAAAAGAGGTCAAATAAAACTAAAGCGCGATAAACTGGAAGTTAAGAATGTTGTGACAGCGCTTTGTGAGCGTCGCTGCTCCCCAGTTTTAGTTTAATTTCCTAAATGTTTTAGCCTCGTAATAAATGTTATGTTTATCAAACATTAACACCCGAAGGTAATAAGAGGTGGATATCGTGTCTGCAACGTCTGGAGTTTTTAAAACACTGTTGGAAAAAAAATCAAATTCAAATTCAAAAGTCAAAGCATCGTTTTCAATGTAGATAAATGTAGTGTCATTATGTTAGTTATAGTGAACTATGCTGCGTGTCACTGCACAAAACGATAGAAACAGACGGTTAAAACAGAAGTTAAGACAGTTCTGGGGTTGTCTTAAAGTTAGGACAGAAATGAGGAAATTTAGGAATTTTGTCTAGTTAGGATGTTTCTGTAATGCTGTTTTTCTATCTGGAGTTGGGCTAAGATTATGAACTTAGGAACTGTTGTTCTGTTATAGCTTTAGTTCTAAATTCATTCCTAACTAGCTAGTTGTCATGGTGACTATGCAGATAAGACTTAACAAGTTTCTGTAATATGGCCCCAGATTTCTTTACAGTGATGGCGAAAGGAGCCAGGAGTTGTAACCATTTAATGTAATAACTTCCTGTAAGGAAGATTTTTGAGGCATTAAATTCTTCAGACGTCTGGTTCCAATCACTACCACTGTGAACAGTTCTGACCTGGTAAATGATGATTTTGTATTAAACCACACTGAATGACTTGGATATTAACTCTTTGATTTTAAAAGGAAAACATTATTCAAAAATTCTACTTTGCAAAATTAAAGGAAATTCCCGCATAAATGAAAAGAAACATATTTAAATTTTCATTTTAAGCCATTTAGCTCCGTTCACCCCATTTATTGAGGACTCACTCAGGGCACCCTCTAGTGTTCTGCATTTGTAGTTTTGGTATAATGAGAGTAATAGAGCCAGGCTCCTCTAACACTCACACTGGCTTGAGAGAACGTCAGGAGTGTGTAAAGTGGCGACAAGGCAAAGTAGGGCAATTTAAATAAATTAAAAAAGATATTTTAATTTGTTTACACTTTTTTGCTCTGCATAATTCTATATGTGTTATTTTGTAGTTTTGATGTTTCCACTAAAATTTTAAATTATTTGGAAAATAGTACAAATAAGAGGAGACTAGTAAGTCTGACAAACTTTGACTTGTAGTCAACCGGTCTCTACCATTCATTTCTTCATTTCAACTCTTGATTATATCCAGGCCATAAAGCCATTTAAATAAATATAAGATATTTTTGATTGTTTGAACACTTTTTTGGTCTCTGCATAATTCTAAACGTGTTACTTTACTCTGAATCTAAAATGTGGGAAGTAGTAAAAAAAAAAGAAAACCCTCCTATAAGTAAGTGTGTGGGCTGGAGCCTATCCCAGCAGTTGTTGGGTGTAGACAGGTCACCAGTCCATCACAGAATAGTGAATTTAGAGAGACTGAATTTATATTTTCTTACAGATTTAACTGAAAAGACCAAACAGCTCAAAGAAACAAAACATGTACCATCTGAGAGAGACACGCATCTAATGGAGAGAGAAAAACAAGTTGAGGAGAAAGACAGACTTCTGACAGAAAATACAACAACACTTCAGATGAAGGACAAGATATTAGAAGAGAAAGACAGACTTCTCACAGGGACAGAAGATGAACTCAGACAAACAACAAAGAAATTAAAGAACAATCATAGAATACAAATGGAAGAAATGGAGAAAAGACTTGAGGAGAAAGATGAAGAACTAAAAAAGGTAAAAGTACAACTGAATGATAAAGACATGAAACTGAAAGAGAAAAACATGATTATAAAAGAACCTTTAGAGACTATTGATAAGAGAGATTCATTATTAAAGGAAACTAATGAAAGATCAGAAAGTGTTAATAAGCAGCTTAAAGATAAAAACACACAACTGGAGAATAACATCAAACTGCTGAGAGAGAAAGAGACTCTACTGGAGATCACAGTGAAAGAGGTGGAAAGCAGTAAAAAGCAACTGGAGACACTGAGGAAGGAGCTGCAGGACAAGAGCAGCAAACTACAGGAGATGATGATCCTACTGGAACAACAGAAAACTGAAGTGAGTGAAAAAGACAGACAGCTTGAAGAGAAGGAGAGACTTCTAAGTGAGAGAAACACACAGCTGATGGAAAGAGACAAGCAGGTTGAGGAGAAAGACAGACTTCTAGAGGAGAGAAACAAGCAGCTGCAGGAAAGAACAGATCCAGACTCAGCAGTTCAAGCCAGGAAAAGAAACGGAAAGGAGCTGGAGCCTCAATACTGTAAGTAACTACTAAGATTGCATGAAGATGTTTAAAATGAAATTCTTTAAAATATAAATGTATAAAGTGTTTACATTGTTATATGATCACACACTGTAGGTGTCTAACAAATTAAAATACAGATATATATTCCAGGAAAAATATGATTTAAGAGGAATTAAAACAAACAAAACAACTCTCAATTATGCTATAAGGTGTAGCTGTATAAGAGTTCAGTATTTGGTGAGAACAGCAAAACATTAAACAGCAAAATGTTAAACTCATTTATAAATTTCATGACATAAACTACTAAAAAACTACTTATATTATTCAGCCTTGCCCGTTTAAAGGAATCTCTTCAGATTTTTGCCCTTTTTAGACTTATTTTAGTCTAATCAGAAGACAGTGAGTGTTTCTCTCAGTAAGTGCTTCTCATGAACAAGAACAGTCTTGTGTTCTTGGGAAGAATGTTCCCTTGAAAGAGCGACCTTTCTAGAATATGAGAACAGAGAACGTATGTATAACAGTTTGAAATGTGCTGTGTTCTCACTATTTATACTGCACAGTTCTGAATCCAGCTGTATTCATCAGCACTAACAGTAATTAGTCTACAAGCTCACAATGTTATACAGGATATCCAGAAGACACTTTCATACAATACAAATGATTAAAACCAGTCTGATGTGACTGCTTGTATAGAAAAATGTTTTATTGATATGATGAAGCCAAAGTTCATTATTTAATTGATACAGCCTCTTCATCAACCACTGGTGGCATTTTTGTTTGAATGTTTACAAGCCAAGAGTGGAAAAAAAAGACCCAAAGCCTGTTTTTGAGTACACTGCAAAGTATGAAACAAAACTGAGCAAAAGTATTATAATGCAGCCATCACTGTATGAAATATTTACCTAAAGGAGGAGCAGCTCAGCTGCTGTGCTGATCCAGAGGAGATCCAGGCTGAGGACAAAGAGAGGCTACTCGCTATAATAAATCTTATCTTCAGCTGTGGCTTACTTTAGTGGTACCAACCACTCAACTAGAAACAAGCTAATGTGTCCTTAAAATAGTCATTTAATTGCAAATTACCGCTGCTAAAGGAGAACCCTATGCTGGCCACTTGTGATATTTTAAACATCTAGTATTTTTACATAAATTGTTATGGCTGTATTGATTTAAAAAAGAACAATAATGCGGTGGATCCACCAGACCCACTGAGTAACAAAAACATGAAAACCACACAAGGGTTAAACTCTTTTTCAGTGACCAACAATTGCTGCCACTAAACCAGAAGGTAAAAGACAAAATTAACAAGATGGAGGCCCCCATGTTTCTTCTGCACATACCGTGAATACGGAGTCAGTAACATAATCTCCTCTTTGCTGGTTGTTCTTTTTAATAGTGAGTGGAGGGACTCCAAAATCTGCAGCATCACTCAGGAGAAGACCCCGTTTGCAAGGACTTCCTCCAGATAGTAAATGATTCCATTGATTTCCTATAATATCTTAAATATTTTCTAAAATATAATAATCACCATTACACAGTAAGAGATTAAACACCTCCTTGTTGTTGTTATTTTCAGTGAGTGGTGAATCCTCTCCAGCCTCTCCAGAGTCAGTTCCTGTAGCAGAACTCAGACTGGTGCTGCTGGGGAGGACTGGATGTGGTAAGAGTGCAGCAGGAAACATCATCCTGGGAAGAGAGGAGAGGAGCCAGGCTGGAGCGTCTACAGTGAAGCAGCAGAGTGAGAGCAGACAGGGGAAGGTGGCTGGGAGGCAGGTGACTGTGGTGGACACTCCTGACTGGTTCTGTCCTGGACTCTCTCTGGAGGAGGTGAGACAGACCGTGGGACTCTGTGTCCGTCTGTCTGCTCCAGGACCCCACGCCTTCCTCCTAGTCATACCAGTGAAGCAGTCTACAGGAGAGGAGGGAGGCATGCTGGAGAAAATGGAGGAGATTTTTGGAGAGAGATGTTGGAGGAACACCATGATCCTTTTCACTGTTACTGATGAAGTCCAAGAGAAGAACATTGAAGAGTTTATCAGGTCTGGAAACCAGGAGTTCCAGAGACTTGTAGAGAAATGTGGGAATAAGTTTCACTGTCTCAACATTAAGGAGAGTAGAGATGGTTCTCAAATCTCAGAGCTGCTGGAGAAGATAGAGAAGATGGTGGAAGGAAACAGAGAGAAATTCTACAGCATTGAGATCTACCTGGAGACAGAATCTCAGATCAGAGAGATAGAGGAAAGAATGATGAGAGAAAGAGAGGAGATGAGAGAAAGACAAGAACGAGAAACTAGAGAGAAACTAGAGAGATGTGAACAGGAGATTAAAATGAAGTTTAAAGAATTAAAAGATAAGTTTAATGCACAAATAAATCAGCATGAAGAGCAAATAGCTAAACTAGAGGTAATGTTAGAAGAGGATAAAGATGAGGAGAGAAAAGTAGAGCTGGAGCAAGAGCTGGAGAGAGAGATCCAGCGAAGGAATGAGGTTCAGCTGGAGTTAGAGAGACTGAAAGAAGAGACTGAAAAGGAGAGGAGAGAGATGGAGGAGAGACACAGACAGGAGATGGAGGAGATCAGGGAGACGTATGAAGGAGAAGCCAAGAAGGAGGCAGAGAGAAACCTCCTGCCTGAACTCCAGCAGAGAATGTGGGAACTCATGACAAAGAAACAGAAAGATTTTGATTGTAGGATGGATGAAAAGGAGAGAGAGTTAGAAGCACTGAGACGGAGACTCAGAGAGGGAGTCAGAGAGGGAATCACAGCAGCAGGAGATGATCATCAGGAGGACACTAGAGGACTGTTTAACAGGTTAACACAGCTGCTGTTTTGGGGAACACTCTGTGATCCAGTTATAATCACTCAGTCAGCTCCTGACTTTCTGTCATAGCAGATTTGTCTGATAGTAGCAGCTGATAAAAAAGGGAAGCTCAGAATGAGTGAATTTTTCTCTCAGTGGTCAGAGACTCAATACGCATTTGAAATATTTTTAGTAAAAAAATTAGGGAAAAATAAAACTTATTGTATAAGTTTTATTTAAGTAGCCAGCAATGAAGCAACCACATTTGAATTTGTCACGTTAACCCATAAATCAGTAAAACTATTGATTTCATGATTGTTCAGTATGGGTTTATTTTCATTGTTACAAAAAAGAGAACATTTTCCATGCAGTACAGATCTCATTTGCATCACTATTTAGAATAATCTTTTTAGAGAAATGTTTTTACTCCTACTTTTATTCCCCACATGGATACAGATATTATCCGTCAAATTATCAGAACTTCTAATTCAATTTTTATGCTGAATTGCATAATATTATCCTTGAAAACAATATTGTCAAAATAGAGTCTGTCAAAACATTGTTTATTTATTAAAAAAAACCTACACCTACCTCAAAGTCAGTGGCCTTGAGGCTGTTTGCAACTACATTCATTTTTGATAAGGATGAGTTTTGAGTGTTGATGTCAAGTAACATGACCTGCTGGTTTCTCAATGTGTGTCTTCCTAGCCCTCATTTCTTAATTTCTTAATCTTAATTTGCATACAAGTGTAGTTCACAAACCTACATAGTCTTAGATACTTTCAAATGTAGTTCTCCTCAGTTTCTGGCAGCCTGATCACCCAGTAATTACTGTCAGTCATCAGAGTGAAGAGTAGAGTGTAATTAGCTTTAGTTCTTTCCACTCTGATCAGATCACTGTGTGATAGAAAGGAGACCAGGAGTGCCAAATGATTACTAAAGCTGATTTATAATCTGCATTATAGGTATACTTTATATGAAATTGTTGATTTTTTTAAAAAACGTTTTAGTAAATGTTAAGAAATTATCTTGTATAAATAAATTAATTTCCCTAATATCCACAATTTTAGTGGTAAAATAAAACTTCAGCGTCTCACACAACAGAACTCTATCCTCCACTCAGTTTAAAGCAACATAAACATCATCTTTAGGCTCATAAAGGTTTTCATTCCAATTAAGCAGGAATGTGCATCTGATCATTTGAGTGATTGAGAAGAATTGAACAAACAAATAGAATCAGGAGCTTCAGTTCATTTGTAATGAAAACCTGCAGCCATAGCAGACACCTCTGGACTAATGAATCACTGCAGAAATGTGTTCATGATGTGCTGTGGTGTGTGTGTGTCCCAGTATTCATCAATATAATTAAACATCATGGATCTCCATCCTCATCATGATGTGTCGATTTCATATGTCAGTCACATATTTCAAACTCACTCGGCCTGTAGAGCGTGACAGCAGATCATACTGTGTGTGCTGATCTTTTTTCATTATCCCAGTTATGCTGACTCCTTATATCTGTAAATAGGATTGGGGTTTAGTGAAAAACTATTCAGAATAGAGAAATCATCTGTTTTCAGTTAATATAATTCTAAGAAGGCAGGATAGAAGGCTGGATAAAGTGGGCTTGGGGGAACAGACTGATGTAGCAGCAAAATGTTAAGAACATTAAAGTGGTAAGAGATTTTTTTTTTATAAAACACACTAAGAGAAGAATTCATCAAAGAAAACTGCAAACCAGTAACAGCAAGGAAGAATGTAAAGTAAGTAAAAATGTAGAAGAGCAGAGTTTTTCCCATGTGCCTTATGAAGATGTATTCTAAATGTGTTCTAAATATTACTTTTTAATGTGCTGTAGTTGAATATGTTACTGAGTACATTCAGTGTACATTTGTTTGTAAAAGAAATTATCAACCAGAATTTGTGTCTAAATGTTTGTTTACGCAGTTGCTTTTAAAAAGGTGTTAATTAGTTATTTTTAATGATTTTATAAGTGCCATTATCTTTAAAAAAATAAATTAAAGAGAGACTTTATAGCTTCATTTAACATAACATGACTAAATAACATGGAACCTACTGAGCTGATAGATTGTGGTGAACTAACAGAAAAGAAAAAGGAGGAAAAACAGCCATTAAAGCCATTAAGCCATTAAGTTTAAGCGGAGTAAAGGAATGAATGCAAGTTCATTCCATTTAGATGCTGTTGCCCTTTTGTGCTCAGAGAACAGATTGAATGTTCTAAATGTTCCAAATATCTCCAGATGTAGTTTAATACAAAACATCATTCATAAAGAGCTTTTTCTTCAGTCTTTAACAAACTCCCAGTTTAAAAGAAGTATTAAGATTTTATATGACAAGAAATATACTGGAGAAGTAAATAATGTTTCTACATTAGTGTCAGCATAGAAGCAAAGATTGATTATCCAATACAGTTTTTGATAGATCTTCCTCTTCAGTGCACTCACATATGATGGAGGCTTCAAAGCTGCTAAATGATTTAATTTCAGATAATGACTTATGTGATGTTTGGAGTTTAAGAAACAACAATTGTAAAGATACTTTTTACTCTTCTTATCATACAATATTCTCTAGGATAGATGATACTTTACTCAAAGAGAGCAAATTCAGAGTGTCAACTGTATCAATATTCTCAGATCATTTTCCTGTAAGCTGTAATCTTTATCCTACTCCAACTTCTCGGATACAAAGATGGCACATGAATACTACACTTTTACTGCAACCAGAATTCATTAAGCAGCTGTGTAGTAAATTAATAGTGTTCGTCAAAGACAATGTGGGTCCAGAGGTTAACGTTCAGGCTCTTTGGGAAGTAACCAAATGTGTTCTGAGGGGTAGCTGTATTTCTTTTTGCATCTTATATTAACAAATCCAAGGTACATAAACTAAATAGCTTTTAGACTCAGATTAAAATAATAGAATAGAAATAATAGAACTGAAAATATTAAGTCTTCATTTTCTTAATAAAAATATAATACACTGACAAAACTGTGATCTGAATATAAGGCTAAAGCAGAATTTCTTTCTCATCATATGAAACAAAATCATTTTAATGTAAAGCGTCTACTACTACTACTACTAGACTACTTGCTTTAAAACTGAAGCATAGTGAAGCAATGTGTGCTTCACAACAGTCCAGTCGAAGTGAACACTATTTCAAAGGTTTTATTCACACTGATATAGCTCTAGTTCTTAACTCTTTTAATTATGCCATCGAAACAAACAGCCTTCATATGGAGCAGAACACTGCTCTTATTTCACTTATTCTAAAAAAAGGGAAGGATCCTCTTCAGTGCAGTCAGATAGCATGCAGATTTGGGCCACTTCTGGCAGAGATATGGCACTACTGGCCCGCTGTCGGCACTGGCAACCTGCATGTGAGGCAGAAGTGGCCCACATGTTGAAGACCCGGAATTGGCCCATATGTCTATATAAATGTTTATTTGAAGTGGATTTTGTAAAAGCTTATGCATTTCAGGTGTGTAAATCTGCTGTGTGAGTGTAAAAATACAATTAAAATAAAAATCCTATCCACAGCTCACACTCATTTCTGCTTTGAGCTATACCACTTCCAGTTTGTTATGTAAAAAAGACAGTGTCAATCAGGAATCAACAACTGGGATTACATTGTGTACACTTTTTATTGTTTATTAATATTGTTTGTTATTGTGTTGTGTATGCATCGCTTTTTTCCCACACGGATGTCTATTTTGTTTTTTATCCTGACTATGGTCAAGATTTTTGAAGTAAAAACATGGTTCTGTTTAACACAATGCTTTGCATTCTTTATCATAATCATCAACACTAAGATGTGGTTCCATGTAAAAGTTCTCTTATTTTTTTTCAGACAGAGCCAGTTGGGAGCACCTACACTCAAAAATGAAAATGGGATGTTGTTAAATTTATTCATTTGAATAGTGTTTAACGGAGTAAAAATATAAGAGCTTGTTAGTTTAAAGTGCATTATTTGCATAGAGCTGATGTAAGTCTAACTCTGAGAGAAAATCAGTTAGATTATTAATAATAAGTCAACAGGCCCACTTTTCTGTCTGCTGATGTGCACAGGCATCAACAGAAAGTGATGGCATCACGATGCTGGAGGCAAAAACACTGGACTTTTTCTTTCCCTCCTTTCTGTCTAAACGGTGAGCTAACTATCTGGTTAGCTCTGCAGTATGTCTTACATTACAGTGTTAGTGTGTGTTTTCTCACACCATATTTGCAGTCTTACTAGATCTGGCTAACTTTACTGTATTCTAAAATTTTAAATATTGCTTTTTATGTTATAAAATGCTTGGAAAACTGAAATTGAGAACACTGTTTCATTAACATAGCTCCACTCTGTCTAAAGTCCCTGCAATTATGCTCTCTAGTTAAAATTTGCTAATGTATTTTAACCTGCCTCTGACTTATGCAAGCATGGTAGAGTGCTCACAGAATGGGACAACTGAGTGCTGAAGCACATGAAAATGGTCTGTCCTCAGTTTCAACACGATTCAAATGATTCAAAACATCATTAATACTGTTTGTCAGGAGCCAAGCATCCACACGTAAACCTAAGACCATCATGCACAGTGTCAAACATTGGCTTGAGTAGTGTAAAGAACACTGGCGTTGAGCCCCATAGCAGTAGAAACTCTCAGGAGTGATGAATTATGCTTTACTTCTAGCCAGTCTGATGGATGAATTTGGGTTCAGCAGATGAAAGACAACTCTACCAACCCAATGACTGCACTAACTGCAATATTTAGTGGAGGAGGCATAATAGTCTGAGGCTATTTTTCATGGTTTTGGACCCTTAGTTCTAGAGAAGAGAACTCATAATACCACAGCATGTGTGGAAGAACTTGACTTGGTGTCTTTGACTGGTCTGCACAAAATGCTGACTTCAACTTTATCAAACACCTGTCAGATACACTGACTGTGAGCCAGGTCTTACTGCCAATATCAGTGCCCAACCTCACTAATGCTTGTGTTACTAAATGGAACTGAATCCCCACAGCCTTGTTCCAAAACCTTGTGGAAAACATCCCAGAGTAGTGGAGGCTGTGACAGCAGCAAAAGGCAGGACCAACTGTATTTGACAGAATGCATAAATGAAAGTGTTGTTTGGATATTCACACTTTATTAGAAACCTTTTGCTTGTTTTGTTTTGGGTAACGGAACACAGGGATTGCCTCCAGCAGGTCCAGAATGTCTTCAGGTTAAACTTTGGCATCATAGTTAACAGTCTCTGTAGTGGAGTCGGTTCGAGGCCTGGAAGGTGGAGGCTGGACTATGTCCTCGTTATCAGAGGTGGTGTCCCTCTTCCTCTTTCGTCGCTTCTTCAGCTGATGGCTGAGTAGATCTGCAGATAATATGTGTTATTTAGAACTGACTCTTTTAAGATTCTACACTGATTAAAGCTTGATTGTCTTTTCTAATTAAAGAGAAACTGAGCTATAATAACAACTTCATGTATGTCATACAGATAAAATACAGATTAATTGCTTCTGAGTGTTCTGTTGTCTAAATTGTGATAGATGTGCATTAGAAAGCTTACTTGCTGGTTGGATGTTATCAGTGTTGGGTGCTTCATTGTTGTTGGTTTTTAGGTCTGTGACCTGGCAGTGTTTTTCACCCTCAGAGGTTGGAAGGTGACCTGGAGGCAGCAAATAACCTGTTAATTTTAGTGGACCGAATTCCTCAATGTTAGGAGGGTCCCAGAGGATCTCTGTGAAGAAAGAGTTGTGTTTATCAGAAAAATAAAGTTTGCATGACTTCTTTTTTCCAAGATACAAGTAAATGCAATAATGTTGATACATTAGTACATGTAAATATAGTGGAGTGTTTAGAGAATTTACCATCAGGGTTAATGATGTGTCCGTTTGAAGTGTAGATGATGTTGCCA